AAGTTAAAACACTTCACATTTGTATTTAGTTATAAAAAACACATGGTTAAAACTTTTAAAAAGTGTCATCAAAATTTATACAGTAGCAGAACGTGACGTTTTCGATCTAATCAGATCATCTTCAGTGCCTTCTTAGGTAAAGAAAATATAAATTCTTTTTTTAAAACAATTTTTACTTGTAAGAACTTTCCTTTAGTTTTTTATCTTACAATACAAATTCACCTAAATCAATGTCAATTGATTTTGGTAACGTTATTTTGCGTGTCTAGTAATAGGACAAGGCAATAATAGAAATAATGAGTTCTATTGCAGCATTCCAATGTCAACCACGATAGTTGACATCAAGAAGAAAAAACTTAACAATTTATATACAATAGCACTAAAGACCTTAGAGGCCCATGACTTAAAAATATTGTTCTTTCTTCATTTTCGCTTTCCTGTATGTACTGAGATCTTCTCTGGCTTGATGTGTGACTTTTCTCCATTCCTTCTTGTTATTCATTTTTCTTTTCTGGCCGTCTAGTCCAATTTCTTCCATATCTTTTTCTACCTCCTGATTCCATCTATTTTTTGGCCTTCCTTTTCTCTTTTTTAAAGGTATAGTGTAGTTTAGTACCCTTTTTGGAGTCCTCGTGTTCGGCATCCTTTCTAAGTAACCTCGCCATCTTAGTTTTTGTGCCTTTATGACTCCTATTATGTTAGGTTGATTATATAATTTCTTTAACTCATCATTTGATCTTCTTATCCTTAAACCGTCCCTTATTATTCCTCCATAAATCTTCCTCAGGATTTTCCTTTCCCATATCTCCAGTAAATTTTGTTTATTTTTTGTCATTGTCCACGTCTCACTGCAGTATGTTACTATTGGTTGTATAGTCGTTTTGTATAACTGTATTTTTGCATTTCTTGATAAAAACTTGCTTTTCAATATTCCACTAAGAGCATGTACACTTCTATTCCCTGCCATTATTCTAGCTTGTATTTCTTCTTTAATGTTAGGTTTACGTGATATTATTGTATCTAGGTATGTAAATCTTTCTACCATTTCGAATTCGTATGATGATCTTTCTTCTACTTCTACTTTAAACTTTTGTCCATTCCTAAACTGATCATCTGTCCACTGCATACATTTTGTTTTAGTTTCATTTATGTAAAGTCCTATTTTCTTTGCTGCTTTTACTATTCTCTGTACTATCTCCTGTAGCTCTTCTTTTCCTCTTGCCAGCAACACTATATCATCCGCAAATGCCTAAATCCTACGTTTACTATAAATTTGTCCGATGCATGATTGTTTACTTTGACTCTGTTTTCTGTATTCTCTAAAGTAAGATGTATCATGTTACGCAACTTTCTGCTAACTCCCAGTTCCTCAAGGGTCTCTTTTAATTCCTTCCTTTTTATTCTATCGTATGCTTGCTGGAAGTCGATGAATAGCGCTATCATTGGTAAGTTGTGTTCATAGCTTTCTGCTTGTAATTCTCCGATTATGAATGCTTGGTCCGCTGTGCTTCTCCCTTGTCTAAATCAGCACTGATATTCGCCTATTATATTTTCAACTTCTTTTTCTAGCTTACCTTTTATGGATTTTGATAGGATTTTATATACGGTATTTAGTAACGCTAGTCCTCTGTAATTACTGCATTCTGTTTTGTCTCCTTTTTTGTGTAATGGGCAAATAATGGCTTCCTTCCAATCTTTTGGTATTCGTTCTTTTATCCATATCTCTTTTATGATCGTGTATATCCAATTATTTAGCCGTTTTCCACCATATTTCATCATCTCTGCTATTATGTTATCGCTTCCAGGGGATTTGTTGTTTTTCAGATTTTTTATGATTTCCTCGATTTGTTCTTTGCTGGGTGAGTTATCTTCTATGTCTTCTAAGTGTTCGATTCTTGCTTCTGCTTCAATAGAGAATGAATATATTAATAATTTCAATAGAGAAAGCCAAAGAGAATGTGGCTTGACTTATTATTGCCATTTAGTAATTCATCAAAATACTCTTTCCATCTTTCGACTATTTTTGCTTCCCCGCTTATATTATTTTCTGCTTTGTTTTTAACAAATATGGGTTTTTGTTGGAAACCTTTTTTTTTTCATTTCTAGCACCTTGATATAGGTTTTTTATTTTTTTTTTATTTCTGTAATTCTCTTCTATTTCTTTTAGCTAATTTTCTATGTGTTTTCTCTTCTTTTCTCTCAGCACCCTTCTTACGTTTTGTCTTTGCTTTCTATATCTATTCTTTGTCTCTGTTGTTTCTTTCGTGATCATTTCCATCCTCTCTTCGCACTCTATGTTGAACCAGTCTTTCATCTTTTTATTCTCTTGTTTATTACATTCTTTTGTTGCTTTGTTCATTATTTGCTTTATGTTTTCCCATTTGTTTTCAGTTTGCTCTTCTATTTGTATCTTTTTTAGTTCTCTTTCCATTGTTTCCTCGTATATTTCTTGTTCTTTCTTTGTTGCTAATCGAATTGGGTTATGTATACATTTCTTTTTTTTATTGTTTTTGTTTTCTGGTATCAGTTGCTTAATTTTGAGGCCCACCATGTAATTATCTGAGTCAGCGTCTGGTCCTCTGTATGTTCTTATCTTCTTTATACATTGCTGTTTCTCTTTTTCGATGAGCACGTGGTCTATTTGGTTTTTAGTATTTCTCTCTGGCGATATCCATGGCCTTAACAATTTGCCAACATCAAAACTCATATGGAAAAGAGAGTAGTATCACACTTGAATATTCACTTAGATTTCCAAATAATTGAAAAGTTTGGAATTTTTTATTTGTCCCTTTTATAACTCCATTCCTCATAGTGGCATCTATAAAATAGCTAAAAAATGTGCAAATATATTTTAAATGTATCACAAGATACTATAAAACGAGATTATTACTAAAAATTAATTTGTAGATTCCATTTATTTAAACTAAAGTATCCTCAATCAGTCAAGATTTTTACACGAGTAGCTTCTTCTGCCAGGAATATTTAAGATCTATTGGTTAGATGTTTCAAAGCAAAATGAGAAATAAGTAATATTTAACAAGCTGAGGAGAATAGTCTGAAACTAAAAGAATTAATAATTCATGTTATTTAACTATCGTAATGGAAGAAGTATTAAAATATTACTGCAAAAAGCTGTAATAAAAAATTAAAATCTGATAGTACTCTGTTACATAGTACAAAAAAAAAATAAATTTTCTGTAAAAAATATAATATGAAGTGAAAAAAACATTAAAAAAATCTACATCTATATCTATTAATAATTTATAAACATCATTATTTATATCATGCTGAATTCGTTTTGCTTTGTAATAAATAATAACTGGTAATTAATTTAGTAGGTTTTTATATTTTTGTGTTTCTGTATTACGTGAGTTGAAAATAAAATTACAAAACTGACCATGCACAAGAATTTACAACATCGTATAGTTATTAATATCCGTTACTCGACCTTAACCTAAGCCATAAGCAATACAATATACAATATAAAAAAATGAATTATGTTGCATTTAACTTTACATGCAAACTTGTTATGGTTTTTTAATTTTTTTTTGGCATTTGAAAAAGTAAATTATTTTATAAAATCTCGAAATCAAATGGAACGATTTAAATGTGTACCGTGGATCCTCATGTGGATAAAATCACTGATTGGATAAAGCTATAATCTACTCGATGTTTTTCTGAATAGAAATCAGGAATTCATCTTGGATAGCGTCCATCTGAAACCGCAGTATAATCTAGATGGTCTTGAAAAAACCTTTATGCGAAACGGTTAATGACGGTTAGTAGACGAAAAGAAAAAAGTGTACTTAAAATGGTTTTCAACAAAAGATCCGGAGGGCAGAAAACTTTACAGCAGACTAAAATATAATGTGAAAAAATAAGCAAATAAAGCAAAGAACAACAGTAGGGAAGATAAATGTAACGAAATAGATAGGTATATTGGCAGTTTTCGATCAAGGCATTGGTGAAAAATCGTTAGATTACCTAAAACAAATCACTCTTAGTCACATACTCTCAGTAACGCATTGAATAGTGATCAGTGTAGTAGTGTCTGGGGGCTCGGGAGACTGAGACCTCAGAAACCCTGAAGAAAACATCGAAGAGGATATCGAACGCTCGGGGCAATGATAACCGACGTGGTTCAACCCGGAAGACTATTGAGTTTAATATTAATTTTTGTAATAGTATTAATCTTAGCTCTAGGCACTCTTCACCTTTAAAACCCATTATCCCAAAGGATATGGAGTTTGTATCGTCAAGTTGATATATATTTTATTTATAATTGATTTCGCGCATGTAAGTGACATTCAACACAGCGTCAGTAAAAAGTGTAAACCTGCTATCTCCATTTGACCTAACAGGAGACAGTAAAAACTTAATAAAACAATTTAAGTAGATTCTAGGAAATAATCAATCCATTTCATAAAAAATATGTAAAAGGACCACATTTTAGAATAATATTAACATAAGAATAAGTGATGCACTGTTTGTGCATTACTTATTCTTATTCACATTTAAAAAAAGTGGAGATAGCAGGATTCCTTACCACAACTTATCAAATGTTAGGGAGTTAACAGCATGCGATGTAACATTCTATAGTTTGTCTGAATTGTTAATTTATATTATTTTGTGTATATTATCTTGTGTAAGATGTAAGTAGGTGTCTAAGAATAAAAACACAATAATATTTGTATGTTTAATGTAATTCGCGTTTAATAGACTGCAAATCATTATATTTCCGGGTTGTTATAGGCAGTCTATTTTTATGCAATTTTTGTATCAAGTAACCGAATTGTTTGTGGATAATATTAAATTTTCTCTGTGGCAAATTATTCCATGATCACTAAATTGCTCTTTGTAAAAAATATCGCATTGAGGTGTATATTTTAGGGCTTTAATATCTGTCACCTTTAAATCACCCTTAACTCGCCCAGGTCGAATTGTCTTGTAAGTCATTACATCATTAAAATTTTTGAAAAATGTATGTTCCAAATACTTACCATTATATGGTTTCGGATTTTTTCGAGCCATCTTACAGTGACGTATTTCGCTGACATGTTGATGACTTTATCACGTACATGCTTTTCAATTGTAGAATGCATACTATTTGCTTCCATTTGAGTATGGCCAGATTCCAAATATTTTTGTTCAATAGCGATGTTCTTAGTGGCAGCTAAATTTAGTAAAGCATTTGCCATAACGGCATTACAAGTCTGGTAGCTGCAGCCATCAGTATATAAAATTATTTTGGCACCGTCATGTAGAGCACTTGGTATAACTGATTCTTTTAGAAAATATACCCAAATTGAAGCAAATGTTCTGTAGTGCAAAGTACTCACCTTCGATTTCGGTGGCAACAAAACCGCCTGCAAGTCTACTGTGAAATCATAAGCTTCTTTTTCTTTGTCCTTCTTCTTCTGTCTAGCTTCCCTTTTTCTATTTTGACGTGCCGTATATTCTGTTTCGCTAACACTTCCTACCTTGAAACCAGCACATTTTTCACATTCGTCTTTTTTTTTGGACAAAATAGAGAAATATTACGCATGTATAGAGCCTAGTTAAAATATGTCCTGAAAAGCGGTTTTATATTTTGTTTCTGACAATGGTCTGCTACATAAAACTTATAAAGTGACTGTTTTGAGGACCATTCAGACCGAAGGTACTTTCGAGACGACACAGCTCGACAGTAATGATTCCATTACTGGCAATGCATCTAAAAAGGAATTTAGATGTTGTTTCTTCGTTTAAACTGGTTTTGTATGATTTTCGTTCATTGCCGCTGGCTTTGGTGTACTTGTAATGTAATGTCCATATTCCCATTATGTTTCCAATTGAGAACTGTCCATCTTCCTAGGTATAATGTTTTTAAGTACATGGTTCTACAAACATATCATTAATTCTGAGATGATAAAATAGTGACTGGGATCTTCTAGAAATTATTGCATTTTTGCGATCTATGTGTCTTTGCGTAGGGGCGGCTGTGACTGTGTTATTTACATAAACTTTTCTGTCTCCCTACGTTCATTTCGTCCAAAAGTGTTCAAAAATACCTTTATTTTCTCCGTTTATCCTCCGTTACTTGCTTGCATGTCAAAAGTTTGGATGCTTTATCGGTACAACAACATCTTGTCTTCATCTGCCTAGCTTCCTTTATTGTTTCATAAGCCCATTTTTGATCAACCTTTTGGCGATCCAAATATCTTTGTCATTTTTCTCGTCTATTTTTGTTCTGCTCACTAAACCAACTATTTTTATTTACTGCCTTTTTCTAGTTTTACTTTTCTGAGGTAAACTTTCAAAATCAGAACTGCAGTGAATAGGGTACCAATTTGCCGCGGTGGCTTGAATTACTCATTGTATTTTCATTTTTACTTATAAGACATATCTAAATTTTTCCATCAGCCTTTTCGTTGTGTTCTACGTATGAACATCTATTACCTCAATGTTAATATTGTCAGCAATAGCTAGATTTTCTGTAAAATGAGTTTGACTATTGTTTTTTAGGTCGTCATTACTAGCTAATAGTACTCCTGATATAATAAGATTGTTGCCGCTCGAACTAACAGCATGGCAGTTGACGTCTCCGGCATTAAAATTTGACGGTTCTTCCATTTTTTCTACCATTGATATAATCCTCTTTGAACGAGTGTTGAAAGACATCTATAAAGTAAAATAGTACGACTATAAGTACCAATGGTAATCATCCTAAAGTATAATTTAATAACAAACAGGTTAAACTAAAGCCTTTCAACATAAAATATATAACAAAAAACGTTATCTACGATTTAAATATGAATAACAATAATGAAGATGAAGCACCTGAACTAATAGCGTCAAAATTTTAACTTAATCATGACACCAATGAGAAAAGGCGCCAATTTTCCTATTATGATTTAAATTAAATTTAAAGATATTTATATAACAAAAACAATTATGTAATACATTAAACATACATACCTTTAAAATATTGGTAACAAAAGAACTTCCAAATAATAAAAAATCTAAACAAAACGTTAATAAAATCAACCCACGTACTTGTAGTTCGTATGTTCTAACCAAACTACTTGTAACATGAGCTAGCAGTATTTCCATGACAAGTTAAGAATGTGCGGAGTTAGCAGAAAATACTGAGGCGAATTAATTCACTTATTTAAATTTGAATGGAGACGACAGTGTTTATGATTATGTGGATTTTTTTCTCTTTTTAATTATGTCATAATTACAAATTCACCCAAAAGTGGAGATAGCAGGTTTACACTTTTCAGCGACGATAGTCGTTCACTTTAAGCGTTGTTTCTGAGAGATAGGTTCATTTTACACAGAAAGTACTACTAAAAATTGTTGTTTAAAATTATCTCAGCTACATTTTTTATTTGAAACATTTAGTAAAATTCAGCCTATTCGTATGATTTTTAGTGGTTAAATATCTGATGACGGGACTTCTTATTCTATTTAATGACTTTCTATGAAATTAACATCATGAAAAATAATATGATTGAATTTTAATATTAAAGACGTAATTATTACGAGTTTAACTAAGTTATGTGCCAAATAAAACTGCTTTAATTTATTTGCTTAGTATTCCCAAAAAATTACAGCTTCTAAAAAAATTTGTTTTGTGGAGCATTGGAATTGTCTTTCGTTAACTTTATGAAGCATTATACTTTTTAATATCGTTGGCTGACAAGTAAAACTCGCAAGTGCAATTTTGAAAGAACAGAGATATTGAAGTTTTAAAACATATTTTATTGTAAAAAATCCATTTTTGAGTCAATTTTATAACAGATTATAACAGAAAATACCTTCTATTTTTACCTTTTGTTATAAAATTGACTCAAAAATGGATTTTCTACAATAAAATATGCTTTAAAACTTGAATATCTCTGTTCTTTCAAAATTGCACTTGTGAGTTTTACTTGTCAGCCGACGATATGATCTTTTAAAACGTGTTCAATTCTGTCAGCAAGTGGTAAAATTTTCTCTATTTTTGGTATAAAGATATTGTTCGAATAAATCCATTCGAACATGTAAAACTATTTATTAATATTTTTAATTTAAATATTTTTAAATAAATTTAAATTAATAAATAGTTTTACATTAAATTAAATTTAAATAAATTTAATTTAATGTAAAACTATTTATTAATATTTTTAATTTAGTATTTAACTCCATTTTTGATAAAAATGCACTCATTCTAAAAAAAGATATAAATTTCACCGATTGTCAAACATCTGTCAAAAAATTTTTTGTCAACAGTTTTTTAGTATATTATAGTTTTTTTGTGCGTTTTAAAAGAAGACTACCCGAAAAATCAGGCCCCCCGCCTACCCTTAGGGCGAATTTAGTCCCACACAATGCAACATCTCTATTTGACAGAAGTCCTTTAGAATCCGCCAAGAATTTAATCCTCAAAAAGTATACAGTGCTCTCCAAATCGGTCTACGATTTGTCTCGCTGTTGGTATAACAGTAGTTAATTATTATAATCACAGATACATATTGATTATAATACAGTAGTGTCCGTTTTTGTATATACTAGAAGTGTTAGAAGTTTTTTTTTACATGGTTCTCTGGGTGACCTTTGACATATTGTTACCACATCTGTCCATCTCTTAATCCAGGATTTTCGTAATAACAACTTGGATATACAATAGAGCACATACACTTTTAAAGGACTTGTTAGCTAGTAAGTAGTATTTAGTAGTAGGAATTTTGTTTAGTTCTTAATGTATTTGTACTGATTTAATTTATGCTATTTGTTTTTCTCTCTTTTGCTCTTTAATAAATCGTTTTGTACCTTTGGATAGCTTTTTGAACCGTTAGTGTTTAATACATTCTTATATAACAGGTAAGAGCTCTCATATTTTGTAAACAGCAATCTGTGCTATACACTCTATCTCATTTTGGGACATTCTTCATGTTTGTCTTATTGTGTAGATAATAATTTTATCTATGGAAACCTCACGAAGTAAATAAATTATTAATATTAATAGAAATTAAAAAATTTCTGGATGTGTTAAAAACTTCTTGAACTCCATTAATATCATATATTTACTTGGAAACAGTTAATTGATTCTTCTAATAGATATGTTGTTATTACATGATAGATGAGGGACTATTTAAAAAAAGAGTGATTTCATGAGAAGGAAACAATTATTTCTACGTTCAATAAATATAGATTTGTTCTATATTGATAATCACTATCATCTTAATATAAAATAGAAAGCGCTATTAATTTAGTGTTTGTTATTTTCATATAATAAAATATGAATGTAAATATTATAATAAAAATGTTATTCGTCATAATCACATTTCTACGGAATTCCATACTTAATAAAATCAAAATTATGAGTAGTGACTTTAACACAAAGGTAGGAAAGTGAGCAGTAGATATGATAGAACAATTCTGTCAGGAAGAAGAACTGGTAATTAAAAATACATACTGTGATCTACCCCTCAGACGATTATATACATCGAAATTTTAACAAGACAATAAACGACACAAAACTTAATTGATTCCATCCTAATATATAGACGATTCCAAAATAACATTAAAAGAGTAGTTCCTTACCCTGAAGCAGATATTGGCTTTAACCATATCCCACTAATTAGTAAGTTTGGGTTCAAAGGTTAACGATCTCTAAGCCTACAAAATACATTGAATATAACATTGAAGCTTTAAAAAATAATAAAACTAGAGAAAAATTGCAAAAACAACATGAAAATCAATTTTTTAAATCAACAAAATCAAAAAGAAAGCGTGGAAGAACAATGGAAAAACATCAAAAATACCATACGTAAGGTTTCACAAAATATCTGCTTTTACAAAAGAATACAAGCAAAGAAACATTGGATAATACCGGAAGTTCTAGATATTATTGAAGAAGGAAGAAATTTAAAGAATAATAAAAAGAAAATACAAAGAAATAAATAAACGAATTAAAAAGAAAATAACGGAGATCCACAATAGGGTACACGTAAACTCATCATTAATTAACATAAATGCTCTCGTAGATAGTACAAATGCATCGCCGCAATATAATAAGGAATTTTGGAATAGATCCGGAGAAATTTCATTGGCCTACCTGCACCCGTAGTGCAGTTAATAAAAAAACGAAGTTGTGGACTATTTCCAATATAACCGGAAATAGCACATGCTTTTATATTTCATAAACAGGGTGGTCCGTAGACCACCCTGACCACCCCACAAATAAATAGTAAAAACAGAACTACCGTTTGGAAAAACTGACTATTTTAATTTCCATAAAATACTCCGAAGTGGAAATCGAAATGTCAAATAAACCCAATTTTAAAGTAAAATTATGGCTTATTCCCAACAAAAATAGTAAAATTCTGAAGAGGCTGCTGCTGTGAGCATATATTTGTGAATGTAAGAGAAATAGGTCTTATACTCACATTCCGTGTTAAGTTGTTGTAGGAAATTATTAAGAGAAATATTGGGCCACCGGTTTCGCTATTATTGCTATACAGCTTCGTCCGGCCCACAAGAAACTAAAGGAGATCAGTACAAGGAATTATCTTAGGGTTTCATTAGCTGGGAAATATAAATATTACCCAACTGATATTCGAAAATAGTTCAAATTATCGTATTTGAACAAAAATACTAGTCTTGAATATGTTGCCCATGTAAGTCCATTTTAAATAGGTAAAAAGACTTACTTACTTAAAGAAAGATTAAGACTTACTCACAATCAATTTATTCTACCACCAACGACTGGTTTCGCATACTGTAATTTGCTATGCATCTTCAGATCAACGGTACATTGTAAACTAAATGATGAAAATATAATAACCCTTATTAGGATGCTGTCTGGTACATGTGTGTGATTATTAAATATGATTTTGAAATTGATTGAATACACAAAGTAAACGTTAAGTGAAAAATAATCTAGTAAAATTAAAATTAAATAAATAAATATTACTTACATGCTGATACAAGGATTATTATTTAGTGTTTTAGAAAACATGGTTCAAACTGTTAAGATAAACTGGTGACGGGTGATCATCGGTTGTATTATAACTATTTAACATACAGAGGGAAAAGTTCTTGAGGGGAAAAGATTTTAATATATATATATATATATATATATATATATATATATATATATATATTATGTGTGTGTGTGGTGTCTATTTTTGTGCAAACGTGTTATGTTTAATAAAAAATAATAAAATTAACTATTCAAATTCTTTGTTTTACAAAAATGTTTTTTATTTTGTAGTGTAAATTAGGGGAAAGCTTTAAAGCAACAGGTCATTAAATAGATTTTATCAAAAAGATGCATTTTTAAAAATGATCAATACGTTACGCATATAATCAACTAAAATTATACTTTCATATACATTGTGAAATTACAGCATTTAATTAATACATTTAGAGTTAATGTTATAGTATACCCGTTACTACATATTTAGTTCATACCATGAAAAACAATTTATTGATTTTATCTTTACAATAGGGTATGTAAATCGATAGCAATACTTTCACTCTTTGAAATTCCGTAATTTTTGCAATTTAGATATAAATATTATGATCTACTAACCAAAAATATGGTAGTATAATACATGTATATAAAAATACATTATACCTAG